TCTCACTATCTCTTGCTTGTGCCTTGGTTCAGCTCTAGAAAATAGAAGCCCACCACTTTGTCTCAGATGAGCTTTCTTATCCAACAGCTCCATAAATTCCTTTCCAGTTAAACTTTTTGAACTGATGTCTTCAGTGGGTCTAAATACACCTATTTCACGGCATATAGCTTCTGCTGTATCCTTGTTATCTCCAGTAATAACCATAACACGAATACCAGCTGCTTTACAGTCCACAATTGCTTGATGGACCTCTGCACGAGGAGGGTCCTGCAAACATTTAAACTAGCACAATTAGTTCACCAGAGAAAAATACAATCAGTTCACCAGAGAAAAATATAATTAAAACAATTCTAAAGGCAGTCATGGAAACAATGTAACTCACCCTCAATCCAACTAAGCCAACAAAAGTGAGATTGCTCTCAATTGATGAATAGTTGGATGGGTTAAGTAAATGGTCATGAGCTGGATGGTCATCACTGCCATCATAGGTTTCAAACTTGGGGAGCTCATCTTTGTATGCAAAACCCAAGCACCGCAATTGACCGCTTGACATATCTTGAAGAGCACAGGAAACAAGGTTCCTAGAATTCTGATCCAGTGGTACCACAGAACCATCACACAACTGCATCTTTGAGCTTCTCTCTAATAAATTTTCTACAGCTCCCTGCCAAAGTATGTAATTCAAATTAGAGCTACAAAAAACCTTTTAAAAGTGAAAGAGAAAGGATCATGGAGATTGAAGTTAACCATAGCAGCAAGAAAAAAATTCCATAAACAACGCAGATGTTAAACAGCAGCAATAAGTATCATGCTAGCTTCAAACCCTATCATGCACATTGTTTTTTAACTTAATGGAGCAAAAGACATTCAAATCTTTAAAGAGGAAAGAGAGACAGATGAGCAGGGCCACCTGCCAAATCAAAACAAGCATGTCCAGCTGATCACAAGATAATCAATGCCAAAAACCAAAATTTTCAGCTTTTAAGTATGAAAAAAATGATAAGAGATAGAGATAGCACCTTCACCAACAATGACCTTCGTCCTGATTTGGAATTGACAATAACACCCATGGACTTCCTATCACGATCAAACTCAAGGGTTGCAATCCGATGCTCATACTCATTCCACCATTGGCAACAACCTTTAGAGCACATCATGTAACATATTTAAGTTCACAAGTCTTAATGCTAGAAAGGAAATAACAAAAGTAAAAATAAATTATATGAACATCTAACATACGTAGAACATTACTGCCAGCTGATCCACTACTATGAGATCCTTTTGGGAGGCCCATGTTCTCAACAAGAACCTGACGCAAGAAGATATAGAGATGAATCAGATATTAGAATCACTATACTGCCTATTTCAGAGCAGGTACAGATCAACGAAATGTGCATAAACTCTGTTATTAACAGCTTCACCGAACATTGACTATCAGCCTACACTAAGTAAATTTCTCATGCTCTAAACAGAACACATTGCAAACAAAAGAAACACAGTTATAAACCAGTCAAGAAAGCAACCAAGGGTAAGTGCCTAGCTAACCTTTATTGCTGCCTCGGTAGGCATTCCATGAGCTACAAACTTATTGTCAGAATGCGTAACACCAGCATCATTACATATAGCAGCAATCTTCGCGATAGTTTGAAGATTAGCATCCATTCCACCACTTGGCCAATCGTGTATTTTCCCATCAGAAGGATTATACGTAGTCCCATCAACCGTAAAACTCCTCAACCTACCCGCATCACCTCCCATAGCCACAAGCTTAGCCACTGCCATCTGATTGGTCGTCAAGGTCCCTGTTTTATCAGAGCAAATCACCGTAGTACATCCCAATGTTTCAACACTGGGTAACTTCCTCACCAGCGCATTCTTTTGAGCCATTTTTCGTGTTCCAAGTGCCAAACAAGTAGTTATAACCGCCGGCAATCCTTCAGGAATGGCAGCAACAGCCAATGCAACCGCAATCTCAAAATAATAGGTACATTTCTCGAAGGAAAATTTAAAATTCCTTGGCCAACCATCCACAAATTCCCAACTAAGAAAGTATTTAACATTAATTAACCAAACAAAGACACAAACTACCCCAATTATCATCGTCAAAACCTCCCCAAACTCATTCAACTTCTTCTTCAACGGCGTATCTTCTTCACTCTGCGCCGCCACATGGATTTGAGTGTGGACTTTCCCGATCTCCGTTTCCATCCCAATTTGCGTAACCAAACAGAAACAATTTCCGTTAACCACCGTTGTTCCCGCAAAAACCATGCTTCTTTTCCCCTGAATATCAGCGTCTTCGCTAACTAACTTGCTGGTTTTATTAACCGCCTCGCTCTCTCCGGTTAACGAACCTTGCTCGACTCTCAAAGTGGAACTAACTAACTCTAAAACTCTCATGTCGGCAGGGACTTTATCCCCCACTTTCAGTTCGATGATATCACCGGGAACGAGCTCTTTGGCCGGCAAGTTAGGAATTTTCACTCCATCTCGAATCACCGTGGCTTGTTCCGATTGGATCTCTTTCAAAGCTTCCAATGCTTTCTCCGCATTGTTCTCTTGCCAAACACCGACAACGGCGTTGACGATCAAGATCAAAAATATTACCAACGGTTCAACGAAAGCGGTAATTTCCATTTCACCGCCTTCTTCACCGTCGTACCAAGCGAGGACAAAAGAAACTACTGCGGCCACGAGTAAGATTCGAACTAACGTGTCGTTGAACTGTTCAAGGATTAAACTCCATAACGATTGCCCTTCGTGTTTTTCCAACTCATTGTAGCCGTAGATCTTGCGCCGATTTTCGACTTCCGCCGATGACAATCCCCATTTTTTGTTAACTTGGTAATGCTTCTCGCATTCTTGGATATCTTTGGCCCAAGCAGGAAACACAACTGGATGGGCGGTTGGTCTAGAGGTAATCATTTCTCGTTTTCCATAATCCTCTCCTCCTTTTCCCATTTCTGGATCGGTTACGTAGATCGAAATGGAGAAACCCTAGGCAGGGCGGCGAAGATTAAGATGTTTGGTTACGAGAAAAGCGGAAGAAACAGCAAGAGAAAACTTCAAGGATTCATTGATACACTCGCATCGAGGATTGTGCTATTCCCAGGATTCCACTCTCTTTTGTTTCTCTTGCTTTATACTTCTCTCTCTCTCCTCGCTCGCTGGCTCTCTTTCTAATCTGCGATTATCACTCAATTGATCGCGATTAATAATTCTTTTTCTGATTAGCGAAACTTCGCCGTACCACCACCAAACAGATCTGGTGACGTAGAAACGAGACGTCTGCTTAGATCGTGACAGCTGGCACATAGAAAATGATAATTGGCAGTTTTCTATATATCTGCGTCCTATTGGCTATGTTGTCGTTTCGTTCTCTTCCTTCATACGTTTTCCTCCTCTTTACACTGTCGCCGCCGTTGGTTAGGTAGCCAGAGAAAACAGGCAAAAAATAATTTTAACGGTAAATAAATTTTTATTACTTTTATACTGTACTTATTGGATCGGAAAAAATCATTATTTAAGTTACACAGATAAGACAAGGTTCATTCTACATACTTCATTTCAATATAAATAATAGTATATTATTCATCTTTTAATTTTTCTTTTTTTAATGTCAATATTATTAGTTAAAATATTATAAAAATTTATACTTGATTCATTGTTCATGTATAATACATTTACATTATTATTTAATCACAAAATATGACTTTATAAAAAAAATTTAAAATAAATAATTATTTTTTGGAGTTTTTTACTTTAAATATATTTATTAAAAAAATAATAATAGTTAATTCAATGTTAATATAACCGTGCATCAAATATAAATTCATATAAGTTAAAGTAGCACTCTAACAATCTAGAACTTTAATATTGAAAATAAAAAGTTAACTTAGCTTACACCGTTGGGATTCGGTATGTATAAATTTATTTATTTTTTTTACTGATTGAAATGTGTACGTATTTCTTAGGCATAAAGTGGACAATGACAAGAAGCGACGGGAGAAGACGAATGCTATTAAACAGAATGAATACTAAAAGGTCATAAAAGGGGAATCTTCAAGACAATAGCGTAAAAAGCTTATTAGACAAATACACTACTTTATGAAGCAATGGTCAAAAAAGGCAAGGCAAAGCCACCATAGAAAATGCGCATACTATTCTTTAAGTTGGGACGACGCTATTTGTTTTTCTTGACTTTAATCTCTCGATAAGGACTTATCCTTTGGGAAAATGTACATATAGTCATTGTTTGGGGTTGGATAAACTTAAGACAGAGGTAAAGCATATCCAATATCAACAGAAGTTTGGACTAGGAAACTCCTGAGAATGTGCACCATGTAAGAAAAGTCTGCTGACCCTTCACTTATTCTATTGCTTAACACAAATTTGTCACTGTCAATATTCCATGGATACTTGTTTCCCAAGCATTTCTAGTCTCATTATTCCATTAAAAACCATTTCTTCGACTCTTGTTTTGATGTTTTTCTATTAAAAAGTTTGGCATTATTGAATCCCAATAGAAGAGTCAAGCTTGTCATTTTTCAACATGGAAAAAAATTTGTTAGTACATTGGGTATCTATAGAGGTCTCGCGTGTGCATGGGAATAAGGTTTTCAAGAAGATTAATGTTTAAGTTGATAGCAAATTAATAGTTGGTGCGTTATTATCCACGTTTAGTCATTTTGATATTTCAGTTAATAAAAAATTAGTGATCGATGCGTGATCGTCTATGTTTAGTCATCTTGATTTTTAAGTTGATAGTAAATTAGTGGTTGGTGTCTTATCGTCCACGTTTAGTCCTTTTTGTTCAAATTCAAATTTAATCAAAGCCATACACAACTTGCTTAAAAGAAATTGAGAGGTGTAGATTCGTCGCGTCTTTAGTATAATTGCAGATTTCATGATTAATATGGAGATATTGATTGAGGAGACTTTTTTAACTTACCTTGGACCACCTGATAGAGTCATCAACTTACTTCTAAATGATGTAATTGGAGTTAATTTCCCTAACTTAATAAGATAATAAATATTAATTTTCAAAAAAAAAAGTTTGTTGGTGCATTGCTATCTAAATTAGATAATTAATTGTTTTTAGATAAAACTCAAATTTATCACTTTACTTAAAGTAATAAACCAAAATTTGAATACAACTTTTATTATTATATTTTTTAAATTTGATTAAAAATTTTTTTATAAAAGAATATTTCGTTAAAATAATAGAAGAATATTTTGATTTTGAATTTTTTTAAAAACTATGGTAAGATATACAATGATATAAAATTCCACTTTATTCATAGATATTATCTTAAATAAATAAATAAAATTTAAATTTTTAACCTTAATATTTATATATCGTGGTTTACTCAGCTTGCTTGAGTGCAAAGAAAGTAATCTCCGAATTTGTATAAAAAAAATGGAGACGAATTGACCTAATTTGATTGAATTAATTTGGTCCCCGGAGCAAGGACAAAATTGAACACAACATTTAATTAATTTGATATAACGAATCAAAGAAATATCTACCGTACTCACGGGCAATAACGGCACATAGCTGGCAATGGGCAAGGAATACGAAGGGCCTCGAGGGGTGTGCCTGGGAGGCTTCTGAGAATGTTCTCGGGTTTGAATCCAAACCCGTTGGGCAAAGGAAGTCAAAGTTTTGCCCTCAAAGAATGGTCCATTTGCCAATAGCAAAGGGTTAAAGTTTTTGATTCCCAATCTGTCCTTGTCTTGGCGACGATCCTGCCCCGTGGGACCCGCCTCTTCCTGCTCAGTTCTCAATCTCATCCATCCCCATGATTTTTTTAAAAAAAATTTAATTAATTAATTTTTGTTTGGAATATATATTAAATGGGGAAGGCTTCAACTGGTTGATAATTGACTCCAAATAATATTTGTTTAATGTATGACGTCAAACAAAACAAAAATTTCCAGTCATTCCTTTTTTTTTTTTTAATTTATTAGTCAAATTCGTTTAATATTATTTAATGATTTATTGGGATCTAATCGTTTGCCTTTTATGACTACAATCCAATCTTTAATCTAAGCACGGAAGGAATAATAATTTTACTATATAAATTAGTTTATAAAATAATTTATTCTTTTTAAATCGGATTGGATAATACAAGTATATGATTATAACGTATTTATTAACATCCATAATGAAAAATTATTAGTTTTTTTAATTTTGTGTTGTGATTATTTTAAGCATTCTTCTTTTTATATGAAAATTTGAGTTTGAAATTTTGAATTATTTTAATGAGAAATTATTAATTAAAAGAAGTATTTTTTTATTAGAGTGAATTCTATTTCAATAAATTAAATATTCAAGTATAATTAAAATATGTATTATTTAATATTTTTAAACCCTTTTCTTGCTTGATTAATCATTCTTATATGGGTAATTGTAAAAGGATCACAAATTTTTTAGAGATTATGACCAAAAAGTTTTGAAGATTCCAAACCATTACAGATTAAACAAAGGGATTTAAATGTAATTTCAAGTACCGTGGAGGATCAAAAGGAGAAGAACATGGTAAATTAGAGAATTCCAAAAGTAAAGAGCGGTGACTAAAAACAGAGAGAGTGGAATGGGAAAAGTAAAAGCCAAATCTGCGTACGAATTTTCTACATCAGGAAACGGCAGCAGAGATTTCATCAACTAACTTCCAAACAGTTGCGTGATCAAGATTCCAAGCCTGACGAAGACTTCTATGGCTCCCACTCCCACTCCAATCCCACTATGCTCCTGGCTTTTAATGCTGAAAAATTCCGCATACGGCTCTTACAAGTTACTTAATCGTAAGTATTTAATTTATTAATTAATATATAATTTTTATTCAAAAAATAAAGTATTATTTATTAAATTTTGATGCTTCATTAATGAAGTATTATTTTGAAAAAAAATAAAAAACTGATGAGATATGAAAACGATATTAAATTTTAATATTAATTTTTTAATTTTTTAAAATAATAAATTATTAATAAGATGTTTTCATTTTAATAATCATATTCATATGAAATCTAGGATGATATATCACATTCAATTGGACAAAATTTTAAGTATATTTTGTAGTAATTCGAGATTACGTATTATTAGTTTAATAATTTGTTATATTTAAATCATAAATTTTTTAAAGGAGTAAGTTTAAATCGCTAATGTTGATTGACATAACAGGTGTAGTCTAAAACAGGCTTCTTGCATTGATTTTCTTCCTGAACAAAATGCAAATAAAGAAAATACGAAAAGGCAATTAGGAAGGGACTGGGAAACTTAGAACTCCACGAAGACCTCGAACTTCCAGGGTTGGTGTCGGACGTTGTGTTGTGGGTTCCCAAATTTCCAAGCATATACTTTTCTGCTGACAAGAAAAGGGTACTGGAAATTACTGTTTGATGGAAATTTTTGAACAAGAATCAAAATCACAAGGAATTGAACAAGAAACAAATGACAGAGGTCATATCAGCAAGAAGGTCAGGCTCGTGGATGAAGACCAAGACAATGTTTGAGAAAAATGTTGAGAAAGAAGTTTGGCTTTGACTATCATTCAATGGGTCACAAACAGAGCCTTTGCCTGGGATGCTTGCTTTTGTAGGGTCCATCAAAGCCTTTTTTTGTTCTCATTGAATTGATGATGCGGCCCATATAATTACATTTGTCTGTTCTGAAGGGTTTGGGTTGGGCTTGAACCTCGCTCCTCTGAATTCAGGGCTCATGGAATCCATTCTGTCAAAGGAGAAATGGGCCGAATGTCTGAAGCCCACAAAACACAATGACCCACCTCTTGTTCGTTCATGCAGGACCATAAATGGCTACACTTTTCTAACCCCATGACTGAAACTATTCTAACCCCATGGTTGAGTGCATAGCAAAGGGATGGGAACTCAGGAGATGTAGAACGATCAATTGAGAAAATCCGGAGATTTGGGTTTTTCCAAGCTATTAAATGAATGAATCTTCTAAGCTTGTGAACCACCAATCATGTTTATGGAGTTTTCACATAAAAATTGTGAGCCATATGCAAATTAATAAGGTGGAAGAGAGTCAGAGCAACAAAAGCTTTGTAGTTTAATCACTTTCAATATTGTGAATATGGAAACAGAGTGATCAAAGAAATTAGGTTGATTTCCCCATCGAATTAAAACCTTCTCCACTGTATAAATGAAAGCAACTGTCCAAAGGGTTTTGACAAATCTGTCTGGAAACCACGCGTGATGCTTATCTAACAGGCTCAACAATTTCTTCTTTTTGGGTTTACATAATTACCCCCCGAGTCTGCGTTCAATCCTACTGGTACTCCCAACTACAAGTCTACTTTATGGCTGCCCATTTTGGTCAATAACAAATTAACATCATTAGCCTATCCACTCTTTGCCTAACAGCGCACACCACCGCTAGAAACACCTTCATTCCCTGCTGAATCATGGCATGATAAATCCCACTAGGAACCAACCCCATTTGCCCATTTCTCCCTGGCTTTCACCCTTTTTTCTTCCTTTCTTTCTTTACATTATATAACTTTTCTTGCAATCTAAGCTTTGTTCAAGCTTATAACTCTCAAAACCTGGTTCATAAATCTGATCAAACTCTGCCCACACCCCAAAAGAAACCCTTGGAAGAAATGACATCTGTCTGCATTTCTAGTTGTTTGAATGATGCTAGAGACCCCCGGGTGCCTGTCAGGGCAACCTACGTGAATCTTTACAAGTGGCCAGAGTCGGATGCAGAGTTTGTGAGGTCAAGGAGCTCAGGCATGCATGGCCATCCTAGGGTTGTTGACAGTATCTCCTGCAGGCAGATGTATTTAAGGAGCTATAGGTTCTCCAGGAAAGAAACCGTGCCTGAAAAGACTGTGAAATGCTTTGGGAGAGTTAAGGACAAGGTGGCTCATGGGAAGAGGAGGAACAGCAGCCAAAAGAGACGTATTAGGAGAAAGTGTTTGGTATGGAGGAAAGTGAAGGTTGTATTGTTCAGGTTTTTCAATAGGTTGCTGTCTTGCTCTGCTAGTGTAGAAGTTGTGGATCAAAGCAATGCTTTCTTCTGAAACTTTTTTGGGGTGATTATTTGATTTTTGTTCTTTTAGCCATGTTTGAAGCGAAAGGGTTTTGGGTGTAATTAACTTGTTTTTGCTAAGTTGTGGAAATGTGAAATGTCTTAGTCCAGAGAGAGTAGGAACTTATGTCTTTGTACACTAAAAGTGCTGCAAGAATTGTCTGATATTCTTTCATCTGAATATTTTTATTTCATCAATTCATCCTTATTCTCTCTCCATCTCTAAATAGACTAATTTTTACTTTTCTCATCATTTCTTGAATCCGTAGTTAAAGGGTTTAAAGCCCTTTAACATTTCAATTTCAGATTCTGTGTCTTTGTCTTCTTTTTAAGGAAATCTGACAGCAAAAAGTTATTTCTGTTAAAAAAGTTTCAGCAGTAGTTCAGCTGATTGTATACTTCTCCAAATACTTTTTGACCACCTTCAATTCTATGCCTTTTGTACAAGTGTTTTACCAGCTATTGGCTTGCTCATGTTTTCATGTGACAGCAAGTGAGTTTTTGATAGCTTGTTAGACCGGTCTATGCTTTATTGTTTGGGTCTTTAGCTCTGTTGAAAATGACAGGCTGCTTCAGGTCATATGGACAAAGAAACGCAGGCATTGGACACCATTTCCAAAACAAACAAACAAGACTTTATTCCACTGCCCAAACTCCAAGAACAGGAATCTAATCGGCCCATCAGGTCAAAAGAATTCTGTCTGTTGTGCAGAGCCTTTTGCTGCGGCGGAATTCTTCCACCACCAAAGTCGGTCGGTGTAGCCACTGTTCCTTGCATTGAAAAACGTCAGAGAGAGATAAAGAAAAGGAGAATGACATTTTTTTTCCGTATCACTACATCCATACCAGTTCATCAGAGTTCTTTGAGTTCCTACCTCTGTCCATTTGTGAAAAAGTTTAAAATTTAAGCTGTCTGATCATAATAATCAAACTTGAGACTTGGGAATTTACTTGGTTGATTGCTGACCAACATTCCTCTGCCTTTACTTTAGTTGTCTACAATGTTTTCAATTTATCATGAGTTTTGGTGCAAAAGGAGCATGCTGGGCATTAATTGCTGTAAATTATGAACCTCTTCCATCAATTGCAATTATTGTGAAGAAAGGTTTTATTGGAAAAGGAGTTACACGGCTTAAGAAAGGAAAAGGAGAGCATGGACTGATAAGGCTGGACTCCGGGCATACAATCATAGCTGTCACCAAACTTCCTCATGCTTGCACTCTACGACACAAATTATAATGACTAGTACCCTTTTCTTGCTTGTTTCGGAGCTCATCAAAACCTGGAATGGAAGCACAGAAAGCTGAATTTCCGCTGTCCATACTTCCCCTTCTCTTTGAATTCTCTTGTTACCAGTTACCTGGATATCTTCACCCTGTAAGAGGGTGAAAAACACTTGTTAATTTTACTTCTCTATAACTTCTAGCTCATGATAAATTTTTTTTAACAGGGTTTTGATTCAATTGGCCCTGGAACTATGAATCAGTAATTTCTGTGAAAGAGATAAAGCAGAGAACATTTTATTATTCCACATCATAATGAATGAAACTTTGCCTTGGTCTTGTTCTGCATTATCATCATTTCATCTGTTGCTGTCATTGCTCAACTGACAGGAGAAGATACCCTTTACTATCTTTCTAATGAAACTTGATTTCGTATAACAATGAAGAAATTGGATAGTTTAAGTTAAAAGGAGTTGTCAAAAAGGGGATTGACGATATACTTACAGGGGGACGTAAAAAGCTCTCGACACGTGAAAGTTGAATCTCAGGTTACGGTTGTAGAGGTTGAGATCAATGGAGAGGAAGCAGAGATGGAAAAAACCGAAAAAGAATCGATCAAAATGAGAAGAAAGATCAGATTTATGAAGAAACTAGGAAAGAAAGTGGCTTAATCGAGAAAATTAGGCGGAAAGGAGGAAAAATCAGATAAGACGCGTTAGCCTGCTAATCATGCGTTGAGAGCATCCCCTGCTCATTGTTCAGCCTTTGGGCATTCTACTAAAGATCGTCCTAATCATAATCCTGTGCCACCTGCCAGAAAACCGAGCAGAAATGGGTTCCTAAGACCCAAGAACAGATGAAACAGGATGTAGTGGAAAAATCCCCAGCACTTTCGGTTGCTGTTGATACTTGTGTAGGAGAAACAACTCCAATGTCCTGACAATACTGAGAAAGCAAGAGCGGCTGCTGCAGGGGTGTCTGCACTGGTGAGACAAGTGGAATCCAAAAAGAAGAAAAGGAACAATCATGCCAGGAAGAAGATAGGGGTGCATTCTAGTCAAACAGGTGATCCTGTTGTTGATAATGTTCCTTCCTGCTCTTATTTTCTATGAATATTCTGACTTTAGGGGATTGAATGATCCCATGAAGCAGAAGAAGGTGAAGTCTTAGCTTTGTCTTTAAAGATTGATTTAATTAGTATTCTTGACTGGAGAAAAGAAGATTAAGGATAGTATCTTGGGTTTAAAGGGGTGGCAGTCCCTTCATAACTATGAGGATGATGTAAATGGTAGAATATGGATTCTTTCGAAAAATTTGCTATCAGTAACACTTCTCTCCAGCTCTGATCAGGCCATCATCTGTCGCATTACTACAGCTGAAGTCAGGTTTTAATTATTTAGAAGACGATTATGGAACCAATTAACTGCATTTCATGCCTCTCACTCGGACCTTCCCTGGGTGTTAGCAGGGGACTTTAACATCATAAAGAATATATCTGAAGATTCAGATTATGAGGATCTCCAGTTCCTGGCAGTGGAATTAAGGATTTTCAGCCTTGTCTATTGCAGCTGCAGCTAATGGACCATCCTTATTCAGGTTCCTTACTTTTCTCGGTGTAATAAGAGACCAGAAGAATTTTTTTTTTTGAAAGACAGTATTTATTATTCACAAGTGATCTCGCAAGAGGAGACTACAAAAGGCACTTCAGGTATGCCATGCAAAAGAGTAGCAGATTACAAAAAGGAAAGAGGTCTGCTACTTCCAGCATCGAGGTACAGAGCATGACAAACAAAAGATGAAGTGAGATATCATTTTCAAATGAAAAGACACAAGGGTAGTTGAGAGTTAACCAGATTAGTAAAGCCCATGCATTGAAGAAGAGTTCATGTACTCTCCCCCTGTTGGTTTTGAAAGTAGGCTGTGAAGTTTGAGTCTCTTCATACTCCTGCTTTGGCCAATCCGTCTGCAACGTTGTTGGCTTCCCTCATTATCTGCTTG